GTGAATAATATTAGAGATTTGCTTTTATCACTAGCACAATGTATACTTTGTCTTTTAACAGTCTGGATAATTTGGGGAGTCAGATTTTAAGAGAAGGAAGCAGTGTATGTGCCACCCCAAAAGAAATCATTTTACAAAATAAGTACAAGGAACTATATTTCTAAGTTTAATATACAAATATTTTCACTTAAATCTTGCTTACTTTTCAAAACTGTATGCTTTGTATTAATGTTTTGAGTAATAACCTTCTTCCCACCCATATCCCCTATGTTTATATGATTTTAATACAGAAACTATGTATACAAATAAGTGGCTGAGAATGTTTCTTGGTCCTGGAATTGTGTTGCACGCATACGACAAAAAATGCAATATAAGAATCGAATATGCTCTACCTCCTCAATTCCCTACTCAGTGGTAAATTTTCACTTTATTGGGCTCATAAATTCTTCAGAGTTTTTGTTTGGCTCATAATGAGCTTTGTATGAGAAATCATGCCAAGAAACAGCAACTCATGTTGGACTTAAAGTTAAAATGTTTGGATTGAACTATTAAAGAAAAGTATTTCAAAGGATGCATTTTAATGGAGGCTGACATTGGTCATGACTATTTCAGATTCTTTGCCTGGTGTGATTGTGACTCAGATATCCGTTCATGATGTGGATTTGAATCCAGCTTTCATCTTCAATTTCGCCAAAGAGAGTAATCCTGGAACCAAGTTTGCCATTGATCGGAACACTGGAGCGGTGATGCTAGTGAAAACATTGGATTTTGAAGAAGCTACTGAATATGAGCTGCTCATCCAAATTTCTGATACTGTGCATCACACAGAGGGAACACTCATGGTCCGTGTGTTGGATGTCAACGATAATCCACCAGTATTTTCTCAAGATTCTTACCAGGTAAAGAGCTCAAAGATATGCTGAAACCACAGCCAGACTGGAAAGAATGGGGAATAATGTAAGCCTACCATTGTTGATAAACGGATTTAGGCAGAGGGTATTCATGGTGTTTAGAGCCTTACTTGACGCTGAGGGTTTTATATTCAATATCATGGAGGCTATGGTAAGTACATATGGAATTAAGTAGCTCATTCAATTCAGTTTCTTATGTATGTATATTGCCATTGTTTTCATTTGTAGAGATTGAAGTCCAGTTGGCCATAACAATCAGAACTGACCTAATATTTGTAAAGCTACCAGACAATAAGGTGGTTTAGATTCTCAGCAGTTAACTTGGGAAAACCCTTTCTTTCCTAGAGATAGTTTTAGAATATATTGATGAACATTTTGCAGAGATAAGTCATGAACAAAACTGTAAAGTGGAAATTTGATTTGCTGTAGAGCTCAGTGTATGTTTATAGAAGTAAGGACAATAATAGCATTCAGCTAAATACTTGGAAATGGGCGTCAGGACTTCTGAATGTAGCAAATGCACGGTTGAAGCATAAACACAGAAAGGAAACTAACCTAAGTAATGATTTTCTGTGAAGGCTTGCTAAATTATACAATGTACATAATGTAATACTATAATAGTGAATTTGCTAACTATCCTCTACCATGCAGAAATAATTTAGATGGAATTTTTGTCATAATAAAGCTCAAAAGTAAATGAAAACTTTTTTTCATTTTGTTTTTCTGAATTCTAGGTCTACAAAATAATGTTCTTAATATGTCAACTTTATAAATTAATGTGTGTATTTTCCATAAGCTAAATGAATACAGTGATTTTTACTTTCTGGCCTTGTTCCTGAAAATATCTCTGCCTGGAAGCACACGGCTCATTTCTGTCTTTTTTCCTTCAGGCCACTGTTCCCGAATCGGTGCCTGTAGGGTACTCGGTGCTGACTGTGGGAGCCACAGACGTAGAAAGCAATGAGAACATTTCTTACAGGATCCTTTCTTCGTCGAAGGAATTTTCAATTGATCCAATGAATGGTGAGTTATTCATAGTGGCTTTAGTGTTCGTAGGTTCGAGTTACAGGGTGGAAGGCTGCAGTAATCTTTTCCAAATGCTCCTAAAACGCTTCCACCTCACCCCCCCCCGCCCCCAGTATTATAGATGCCACCCTTCTTACTTCTCTGCACATCAAATGCTGTGGTAGCAAACCCTGGTGTTATTTCTCTTCTCCAACATCTCAATGGCTGGAAAGCAAAAGGAATTGATTACATGCTGGCAAATGTGCAGGATTTCAGAGACCCCAATGTAGTAAACACCCAGTTGATCAGTCCAAGTAAGGACAGTTTGGGTAATTATCCCAGGCCTCAACAAGCAACAGAGTGCAGTCGAAGGGATTCATTTAGTACTGAGGACTTCGTGTTACAAGAGTGTGGAAGCTTTTTTTCCAAGCCAAGTACAAAAAGTTCAGTAATAGCATAATACATTCAATAAGGACAAAAAATTGAAAAAGGGAAATGATTTGCGCATCTCTACTGAGAAAAATTATTGTGGTACTTTTTCTGGTTTATTTGATGCCTTCCAAGGCTCTTTGTCTTTTTATCAGAGAGCAAGTCACTTGTGGTCATGAAATGCACTGAGGCAAGTGATTTCAGATTAGAACAGTTAAGAATTGTATAGAGGAAACATAGCAATGAGTAGAAATTAAAAACTAAATTTGATGTGATATTATCATTAGGAAAACAAGGTCCCTAGCAGAGCACACTCCAAAAAAGAACAGGTCCTGGGACATGTCACACTATGTGTTCCCCATCTCTACCCACCATTGCATTATTTCACAAGTGAGAGCTGATTTAAAAACTAACCTCAGGGGGTACCTGGGTGACTCAGTCGGTTAAGTGTCCAACTTCAGCTCAGGTCACGATCTCACAGTTTGTGAGTTCGAGCCCCACGTCGGGCTCTGTGCTGACAGCTCAGAGCCTGGAGCCTGCTTCAGAGTCTGTGTCTCCCTGTCTCTCTGCCCCTCCCCCCACTCATGCTCTGTGTCTCTCTGTCTCTCAAAGATGAATAAGCACTAAAAACATTTTTTTAATAATAAAAAATTAACCTGAGGATGACAGATGGTAACTAGACTTATTGTGGGGATCACTTTGCACTATATACAGGTATAGAATCCTTAGTTTTACATCTGCAGATAACATGCTGTCATATGGTAACTATATCTCAATAAACAATTAACCTCAGGATTGCCCTAAAGAAGAATTTAATCACCAAAGACCAGTATGCGGCCCATGGAGGGTTGCAACAAGTCGGTCATGTTGCCATGCAGGCTGTGGGTGAATGCTGCTGTATGGATGTAAACATGTCAGATATTTGGCTCTAAGATCTTTTCTTCTCTCTCTTTTTTGGGGGACGCACAGTGCTCAGGTGACTTCAGCTGCTGTCCTGGTCACAGCCCGTCACAGTGTATAAGGTGGTCCCTCTTGAGCACTCCATCCTGGCAACATTCGTCCTTGACATGTGTTATCAATACTTTGCAATTACGATATTGATTAGATTAGGAGGTTTTTAAAACATTAAATGTTATCTGATCAAGTTAGTTCATGGTGGGACCCTAACTACATATTTCTATATTAAAAACAACAAAAATTGTTAAATATATTTCATCAATAAGAGGAAAAGCCACTTACCGAATTAACAAAAAAGGTTTAGGAAAGACACCTTTATAATTAAGCAATAGTTGAAAATCTGCATTATCATATATATTACCTTCATTTGACTAGACTGAACGTCACCCAGTATTTCCAGAATAAATAGCTTTATTCTAGAATATCTCTATACATGTGTCTATGGGTAGTAGAATGGAGTATATGCTTTTCAAATAAGAATACATTTTCTTAAGAAACAGTAATGGAACAGTTTATTTTACAAAAATAAAATTAAGAGACATTTGTAGCAAAGTCATCTTCAAACAGCACATATATTTAATAGAGTGACTGCCAGGAGTATTACTTCTGGATCTCAAGTGTTACAAAAGTCTAAATACAATAATTTAAAATTTCTCTTTGGAGTTACTCTTGGTTGCAACTTAAATAACAAACTTAGCAAATAAAAACAACACATTAGTAAATATTTGATAAATATTTGCTGACCAGTGGATCATGAAAATTTAATTTCACAGCATTGAAATGCTATGTCTTGTTTTTCAGGCACAATATTTACTAGCAATCCTGTATTACCTCTGGATAAAATATCAACAATTCAGTTTCTCGTTGAAGCCAGTGATGGTGGCATTCCTGACCTGAGCGCTCTTACCTTAGTAGAAATAGAAATACAAGATACGAACAATTATGCCCCTGAGTTTGCAGTAGAATATTATAATCTTAGCTTGAGTGAAGATGCTCAAATTGGAGGCACGCTTCTCACATTTTCAACCATGGACCGTGACTGGACCCGTGAAAACACATACGTTGATTATTCGATCATCAGTGGTAATTCACAGAATAATTTCCATGTAGAAACTAGTTTCATTCATTCAGAAGATCCTTCTAAGCAAGCTGGTTACCTGGTGTTGCTTCGTAGCCTGGACAGAGAAGTAGCTGCCAGTCATAACCTTGTCATTGTGGCATCTGACCATGGCTGCCCTCCATTGAGCTCTACAGCCATTGTATCAATAGAAGTACTTGATGTCAATGATAATCCACCTAAATTCAGCAGTCTGAAATATCATGCCCATGTCAAGGAAAGTACCCCTCTAGGGAGTCACATCACTGTGGTCTCTGCAAACGACCGTGATGTGGGTCCACATGCAGAAATCATCTACCACATCATTTCTGGAAATGAGAGGGGGCATTTTCACTTGGAAGAAAAAACTGGAGTTCTTTATTTGATTAAACCTCTGGATTATGAAGAAACGACAAAATTCACCTTAACTATTCAAGCTTCAGATGAAGAAAGGAAGCATTTTTCTTTTGCGGTTGTGTTTATCAATGTCCTGGATGATAATGACCATGCACCTCAGTTTATGTTCTCAAACTTAAATTGTGTTGTTCCTGAAAATGTCCCTGTTTTCTCCACTGTATGTTCCGTAAACGCTTTGGATTTTGATGCAGGTCCTTATGGAGAATTGACCTATTCTATTTTATCGCCCTGTTCCACCACTCACGGGATGCCTCGTGATCATCATCCCTTCCTCATTGACCCTTTAACAGGGGATATTCACACTAAGCAAGTCCTTGACTATGAAAATGACAATAAATACTGCCTCACAGTTCAGGCAAAAGACAAAGGGGACTCAGCAGCCTCTTTAATGGTTTGGGTGGATATTGAAGGGATAGATGAGTTTGAACCCATTTTTACTCAAGATCAATATTTTTTCAACCTTCCAGAAAAGAATAAAATAAGACAGTTGGTTGGCAAAGTGGAAGCATCAGATGCAGATGCTGGTATTGATGGAGTTATTCTTTACTCTTTGGAAACTCCATCTCCTTTCTTTTTAGTAAATAAAACTAATGGAAATATTTATTTGACTAGAGCACTTCCCCTGATAAGAAGTCAAGTCCGTGAACAAGACACCATTGAAATGAAAATAATCGCTCATAGCCCCAAACCGGACTCCAAGTTTACATTTTGTGCTGTTTTTGTGAATGTGTCTTCTTTCTCAGAAGGACAACACTCAGCAATATCAGGTAGCAGCTTTTCCATCAGCGTCACAGTCTCCTTTTTGGTGTTTCTGATACTCATCTTCATACTAATTGTATTGATTTTAAGACATAAACAAAAAGACACAACAAACAATTATGAAGAAAAGAAAACATCATCATCCTCAGATATCAATTTGAGACTGACCACAGATGGCAGCATGCTCAAGCCCTTCCAAAAAGCTAATGAGTGCCGTAATGAGGTGGTGCCTGTGGACTCCATGCCTGAGTGGTTGAGTTTAATAAGTATCATGGAGAAAGACATTGTGAATCTGTACAGGCACTCAAACTCCAGCGGCCACTGTTCTGTGGAAGGAGAAAGTGCAGAAGATAAGGAAATCCAGAGGATAAATGAGCATCCTTACAGAAAGGACTCTGGCTCAGCTCTGAGTGATCGGGAATCCAGGGTCCCAGACTCCGGAATCCCGAGGGACTCAGATCAGCTCTCCTGCTTGTCTGGAGAAACTGATGTGGTGGTCACTGCTGAAACAGCAGAAACCAGCCATACATTTGAGGAAGATAAAGAAGGCTGTGGTACAACCTATGCTCAAAATAATGTGTTACCCCAGACACTAAAGAAGAGAGAGATAAAAGAGAACATCCTGGCTGATGTCAGGAGAGAGTTCGTCTTTATTTCAGATGATCAGGAAGCAAGGTGTGCAGCGCTTTCCACCCAGAGAACCTCTGATCATGATGTGAGAGGCAGCTACCACTGGGATAATCTCCTCAGTTGGGAACCCAAGTTCCAACCTCTTGCCTCAGTATTTAACGATATTGCAAAACTAAAGGATGAACATTTACATACACCGGGCATTCCAAAAGAGAAATCTTTAGTGATTCCACCACCTTTGATAACAGCAGTAGCCCAGCCTGGGATTAAAGCAGTTCCACCAAGAATGCCAGCCAGAACCCCAGGTCAAGTGCTCCAGAAATACCCACACTCCCCCCTTCCCTACCATCTCAGTTCTCTGCCGGAAGCCTCGACCCCTAGCTTTTCACCATCTCTTTTCCTGCTGACCACACAGACCCCGGCCAGGACCCCACTGTTTTCAGATGGGGAATCATTAGGAACACATCTAAGTGGTACGTGCCGTGAACTTAAAGCAGAAGATGAAGTTCAAATATAACATGATTGTGATGCCCAACACCCGCTCACCAATGGTCATGAATGGTTGAACAAGACATTCTTAGGCTAGCTTCTTAAGATTGGCTACAACGTAGTGAGGGATTTCAGAACCTCCTCATTTAAATTTCTTGAATTTCATTCAGCCTTAATGAGAAGTTACCCCCTCTTTTAACCTTTATGTTTTGCTCTCAGGACTCAAGTTTGTATATATAACTCGTGTATATTCTGTCATTAGTTTTCTCTATGATCAGATCTCCAAAGGACACAATGAATTTGACTGCCAAAATGCTTATATGAAAATATATGGAAATAAGTATAGTGCAGTCTGGTCACATTACTGCTGGTTATACTGCTATATCTAAAACAAATTAGTAAAGACTGAATAAGGAATGAGTATAGAACATAAAAATAATGGAAAGGAGAAACTGGGGAGGATAAACTTCGATTTTAAAATGAAGTGATTTTCTGTAGATCCGATATGTTTAGAGATGTATTTCTCTACTTTCCCCATATGCTACACGTACAGAGTTTTGCCATAATTTGAATTTTAATGTGGTGTCTTTTGGAAATCTAATGAGAAGTTAAGAATGAAATTTGTCATAACTGTACCAAATAAGAAAACTATTCCTGATTAAGTGAACCAGAATGCATGTTCTTGATAGAGGGCCAGGATTGATAAAAGCAATAAGTATATGGTTGACTGCCACCTAAGATATATTTCCTTAGCCTTCTTTATAAATACAATGAGTTTTTTTTTCAATGCTCTGTCTTATAACATGGTACAGGTATACGCATTAAATTCTGAAGATTAATATTTGTAGAAATTCCTTCATTTTATTTTCTTTGAGATACAATAACTTTTGGTGTGAAATAATTTATCCATTCAGAGTCACTTTTAGAAGTTTGCATAGATAAAATTATGTTATTAGCTAATAACAAATTTCATAGAGTAATTTAGCAATATATTTTTAAATGAAGATTTTTTTATATAAATATTTCTACTATAAAAGTTAAGAATGGATGTCAGAAGTCTCTCTTCCATTTGTTCATATTCATGTTTAGCTTTAACTGTCATTAGAGCAGTTTGGAAACATGGTGAAAATAATTCTGTTTTGTACAGCTACTGTTTCAGATATATAGTGGTGTTATGTGGTGCTTACATGTAATGTTCTATCCTTCTCTCTGGTGAGCCCGAGAATCCTTCAAGATTCTTATCCCTTCCAGGAAAGCAGAGTGCATGCTGCTGCTGATGGTCCAGAAGTCATCCATGGTAGGCAACACAACCAGGCGTTGGGATAAGAGTTTAGGATCCCAATGTCAAGCCTAGAAGGCATCTGATATGGTTTTCTGTTTGTTTGTTTTTTAATTTTTTAATGTTTATTTATTTTCAAGAGAGAAAGAGAGCGAGTAGGGAGGGGCAGAGATAGAGGGAGACAGAATCCGAAGCAGGCTCCAGGCTCTGAGCTGTCAGCACAGAGCCTGATGTGGGGCTTGAACTCATGAACTACAAGATCATGACCTGAGCCTAAGTTGGATGCTTAACCAGCTGAGCCAACCAGGTGCCCCTGCTATGGTTTTCTTAATAGTTAATATGAGCTTCTGCTGTAGAAATATTTCCTTTATTTTTTTCAATAGGCCTCATCTGTAAAATTCCATGAGCTACTTCTCTTAGCTGGAAAACATTGCAGGATGCCATGTTTGATACCTGGTTTTGTAGGTAAATAATTCTAAGACTTCCTATGCTGATTTTATTAGTTACATATCTTCTGACTCTTAGATCAGGAACAAGTGTATAAAATGATATCATAAATTATATAAAACATAAAGGTTTTTGGACGAGCCTAGAATCCTAGGGAAAGTCATTTAGTCATGGAACAATTAAAGGATGGATGCATGTTTCTTTTTTTCATGGCATACAGGGAAGAAGATTTCATGGTTTTCCTAAAAAACATGAATCATTTCAGTGTTCCAATATTTATTCTCTCCTTGGCTTCCTTCAAAAGATTACTTTGAGCCTACAAAAGAAAACCTACACTGATTTTTTTTCCTAATTATATATGGAAGTGTTGTTTTGTAACAGATTTATTTCTAGGAACCAAAAACATTTTGTTGTTTTTAATTAAACAGGTTCTTTATTTACTTCTGTTTAAAAAGAGTCATCCATCGAATTCTTCCCTGAGTTACTGGCCTATGATTTATTGCCCATTCCGGACATAATTCTGCATTTTTCTAGACATTTAATAAAAACAGAAGACATGAAGTATTTAGAGCTATTCCTTACCAATATCTAGTGGATTTTTAATTGACGACTTCATTATACCGTATCCAATGCCACACGGCCACCAAACCACTGCTGCTAGTAGAGTTAAACTGAAAATGTGAACACACTGGCTGAGTGTTTGCAATAAATCATACATCAGCCCTTTCAACTAGAGTGCTTTTTTCCTAAGTAAACAATATAATTTGTATAGTTTTCCTTCAAGTTTAATATTAACTTGCCTCATATGTTCTGTGTTACTTTGCTGATCTACACACCAGCTTTAGCACTCTGGAGGGGGTACAGAACTTGTTAGTGGAAAATCATATTAAGCCCCAAATTCATAAGCTATAAAATAAAAGACAGTTGTCTCTTGTGGAATTTTGGCTGCCTGAAATTCTGGACTTTCTTGTTGGCAGCCTTAAAAATACTGGTGTAAATCAGTACCAAATGGATATCAAAATTCCATGTCCTAGTAGTAATCATTGAATTGGCCTCCAAAACAGATTCCTGGGCAAAGAAAGGGAAAAAAAATGCCTGTATCTTTAGGGATTTTGTCATTTGACTGTTCTCGAAGAATATTAAAACGTCCTATAAACTACTGGCTGCGTTCGTGCACGCATACCTGGTCTGTGTGTCGCTGTCCAGTTGAGACAGGGGTGTGCTTCTCACCCTCAGTTTCAGAACGCTACTTGCTGTGTTTTCCAGAATGATAGGGATGAAAATTAATTATTAATTTTAAAGGTTTTTCCAATGTTTATTTTTGAGAGAGAGAGAACACGGGCAAGCAGGAGAGGGGCAGAGGAGAGAGGGAGACACAGAGTCCAAAGCAGGCTCCAGGTTCCGAGCTGTCAGCAGAGAGCCTGACGTGGGGCTTGAACCACGAACTGTGGGATCATGACCTGAGCCGAAGTTGGATGCTCAACCAATTAAGCTACCCAGGTGCCCTAAAAATTAATTATTAATTTTAAAACTATTTCCATCCAAATATATGTTTTGTTATTTTTGTTTTGCCATTTTACACATACCTTAACATTAAGTAAAAAATAAAAAACACAATCAAAAGGATCTAAGATGATGATGTACTTCAAAGCAGTCAGGTGTATGGAGTGAATATGGTTAGTGGATTTTCACATGATATTATGGATAAACTCATTGGGTTTATCTTCACAGCATGTTTTGGTTGAGCTCCAAAGTACATAGCGCCATCTGTTTGGTCACAGCTGAAGAGAGGATGGAAGATCTTTCTGTCCAAGAGGAATACCAACGTCAGTGAAGCTATAGCTTTGCTTGTGACCAAAACTAGGCATCCAACATAAGTCACTAGAGGTAGGTTACACCCATTATAGGGATGGAAGGAGAGTAGGAAGGAAGGCCAAAAGAGGAAATAGAAGACTAAATCTGGGGTGTGTCCAGGTGGCTCAGGTCATGATCTCATGGTTCGTGGGACAGAGCCCTGTTGTCAGGCTCTGTGCTGAGAGTGTGGAGCCTGCTTGGGATCCTCAGTCTTCCTCTCTGGCCCTCCCCCGAGCATGGGTGCATGAGTGTGTGCGCACTCTCTCTAAATAAGTTTTAGGGGCGCCTGGGTGGCTCGGTCGGTTAAGCGTCTGACTTCGGCTCAGGTCATGATCTCACGGTCTGTGAGTTAGAGCCCCGCGTCGGGCTCT